AATAAAAACTTTAACATAAATAATTAAAGATACATTCTTCAAAAAGGATATAAATACTTTAAAATATTTGATAAATAAATTGAATTTAAAACTCAAACTACTATTTTTTTTAAGTATTATTTTTATATTAATTAATTTCAATTATGTAAGATTAACTAATGTTAAATTCTAAAAAAAAAATAAGCAAATTTTTTTACATTGCATAAACTCATAAAAGCTTTACAATTATATTAAGATTGGTACATAAAAGATTGTTCCTAAAATTTTATCGAAAAGTTTCCCCTAAAATGAATAAATGATTATAATTAGATAATTATAGGATTCATCATTAATTAATCATTTAGCTTATCAGTAAGAATCTTTATAAATTTAAGGTATTTAAATATTTCTCTAAAATTCCTTAAAAAAGAAATGAATAAATCATTTAATATTATTGATTATTTTAGTTAATTAATTATAGAATTATAATTATGAGATCGCAAAATACCTTAACCTCTTTTAATTTCTATAAGCTTTTTCTAATAATCTTTGTTTTACTGCTCCTATCTAAATATTTGAGGGATCTCTCATACTTCTGGAACAAAAAAACAAATTAATTTTTAAAATAAAATACGATTTATTAAACACTGTTGGACTTCATGGAACAACTGAGTTTAAGCTAACTTCTTATTCTTTCGTTTTACTTATTAAAATTTTTATTTTTCTTTATAAAATAACAATTTGATTAATCTTCTATTTTCTTCTTATAAATCAATTTATTCCTTTCTTAATTAATCAACTTAGAAGTGGGCATCGATGGATTTATTTTTATTTTACTTTAACATATTCATTTCTTTGATATTCTTTTACTTACTCCAACAACATCATATTTTCTTTCTATATCAGACATATGATTTCCCTATAAAATGTCATTTTTATCTTTATCTAAAAAGTGGCAATACTGTAAATATATTGTTAGGCGAGAATTAGTTAATTTTTAAATAATATTTAAAATACTTAAAATCCTAAAAAATTTTTGCTTTTACCAAAAGTCAAATAAGGCCTTGCATTTTTTAAATCCACAATTGATAAAATTTAAAGAAATAATAAACAAAAGATAATTGAAATAATGAGCTAGAAAGTCAATATCTAATATCTCGTAAAGGAATTCAAACTGAAGCCTAATCTTCAAAAAATTTTTTGATTACTTTGTAGCCGTTTAGTTATTAAGTTTATTTAGAGATTTTTTGTCTTTTTAATCTTTATTTTAATTCTATATCTTTTTCGGTATATGATCTTACGAGATCTTCTCTAGCATTAAAATCATATCCAATTTTACTCGCTTTATTTGATTTAACTTCAATAGCAAATTGCATAAGTTTAGAGAGATTTCATTTTATTCATCTGATTAAAATTCCTATAATTATCTTACTAATTGTTCAACTCTTACTTCTATATAATTAATTTCTTTTTACATGATTTTGATTTTATGACTTTCCCATATTAATTTTTCATCTCTTATTTTTCTAACAGCATCATCTTATTTTTTATTTGTTTTTTTATACTTCATTTTATTTTTCTCAAATAACATCTAGAAATCCTTTCTAAAATATAGCTTTTAGTTTTCAAGATTAATTTTAATAGAGAATTCAGGTTCATAAACTTCAAAACATTTGTATTATTTGAATACAATAGATGATTATTATTAATATATATATAATATATCTATTATTAGAGTGGTTTGGTTCGAACAATACAAAAAAGTAGTTAAAATCAATAGATTAGATTAATTATTAATATTTTAGTCATTATATTATTTTTTATAACAACTGAGAATTAGAATATAGATATGTAACTTAGAATAATATGATTTTAAAAAAATAATAGTCTTAGGCTAAGTCATTTTCTTAGATTCTATAAATATAACTATTTCTATTTAAGTGCTCCATATCCCGCCTAAATAAAAGGATTTGGATTAAGGTTCTTCAACTATCTCGAATAGCTATTATCTGAGTGAGTTTTAATTAAGTGTTAACTTTGACCCACTTATGAATTTGATATGTTATTTATTCCTTATTTTCCTATTGGTACAAAAGAATGAGTCATTGAATATTTCTCACCTTCTAAAACCTTTTTTGGAATTGCAATAATTTCATATTCATCCATATTCAATTTTTAGAAGTCATGTCTAAATTTATATGATGGATAATCAGATCTTGTTGAAGGAGTTAAATCAATATCTGCTTCTGATTATAACACTTTCTAAGCGTTTTTTTGGAACTTCTGAAAATAGTATGATGGAGGATTTTAATACGTATTTATGTTTGTTGTGATTATTTATGGTTCACTTTATTTATTTATTGGTTATGAAGTCTTTTATACTATTCCTATGACTCCATTTTTATCCATTGTACTAGTTCTTCCTTAGAATCGTGTTTTAAAATCCATTTACTTTTTTATATTAATTATATATCAAGTCTATTCACTTAACATATCAGGATTGAAATACATTACTGATACTTTATATTGCAAATACTAATTATTTGAATCTAAAAAATCATTCAAAAGACCTCATAAATTGAATAGCTCTAAACAATTAAATTAAAGAGTTCCTACTATCTCAGATTAATTAATAACAAAACAATCTCATCACTAAACACCTCTTAAAAAAAACTATATATACTTATATTGATACTATTAATGATCCTAAAAAGAATATTCATAGTTCTAGATATCCATTAATTTATGAAACAATCATGCACAGAAATTATTTTCAGTAAAAAAATATTAACCAATAGGTTAATAAATAGAAAAAGAATGGAAATCATTTATTAGATTATATCATATAAAAGTCACAAAAATATCTGTATCTTCTCTTAACAATTAGAAAACTAAAATCTAATCATACAATATTATCACCTTAATCTAAAAAAAATATAGAGCTGTATTTATTTATGTTTAATTTTTAGACTAAAAAAACATTATTTAATGATAAAGTAAATGAAACTTTATGTATACTTTAGATTAAAATAGTCATAGTTATAAAATAATTATAATTGGAGAAGGAGTTTAAATGATATAAATAATTTCAGAGTTTTTCCTTAATGTATAAATAGAATATTAATATTAGTATTAATTTAGTAATAAACCAAGAAATGAAGCAAAATGAGTTATGAATCAAATTCAAATTGTATTTTCTACCTCTTCATCACATTCTTTCATTCCTAAGACATCAAGAGTTGAAATAAATTGATTACATCGATTGGTTAGACTAGTTTCTTAAATACTATCGGTTAAATTAATATCGATGCTACATTCAATTCTACTACCAATCTAATTTACAAATGGATTTCTTTTTCTTTCATCATGTTAAATGTAAGTTCCTGTATTACCAAGTTCAACACTAGATTGTATATTAGAAAGATCTCCAAAACAATCTTGCGTTTAATTTTCATTAGAAACTAATAATGTAAATAAATAAATTTTTACATATACTTTAAGATGATCCTATTCCTAAATTACACTTTCCATTACTATTACTATTGTTTACTTCTATTTGATTATTACCTGAACTATTACCCAGAGAATTTATTAACTAAATTAAACCTGGATAATTTTCACCATTCTTTTTTTATACTATATGAATATTGCCCAGTTAATTAATTAAATCTTCAATTACTATATCATGATTTTCTATACCAAGATGTAAAGTTTTTAATGCTCGATGCAAATTCTATTTTTAATTTATAGATAAACTTGTTTGTAGAGATTTACACTTATTTACAAATTCATCATCATCTTCTATAATTTTTTTAGATGACATAATAGCTAAAGTTGTAAATATTTAATTTTTTTCTAAAAAAGGATGTGTTAATGCATCAATCGAAGTAATTCGCTTTTTTGGATCTGCCTATAAAAGTCTAAATAATAGATTTTAAGCACTAAGAGATTCTTCTTTAACTTTATTTTTGAAATTCCATAATTCAGGAGATTTTAGTAATTCTATTTGATCACTAATGGAATTAGCATATAATGGTAATTCACCTGTCATACATTAAAACATAATAACACCTACACTCCATATATCTACTTCTTTTGAATAATTTGCTTAATGATATATTTCAGGTGCACAGTAATAGATATTACCTGTTTTAGTGAGCATTTCAATATGTTAATATTTTTATAAAAATCGTCTTGAAACACCGAAATCAAGTAATTTTAATTCACATTCACCATCTATATTTACTAATATATTATCTGGCTTGATATCTCTATGACTTATTCCTTTACTATGTATATGTGATATTGCATTTAATAATTGCTTTATAATTTGTCTAGTTTCATCTTCTCTCAATATTCCTCTTTCTAATAAAATTTATTCCAGTGTTGGATAAGGACAATATTCCATAACCAAACAGGCACTGCAATATTTTTCATTTATAAACAATTCAATTTCTTATATAATGTTTTGATGTCGAAGACACCGAGCATTATAAAATGTTCTCTTCACATTATTATATATTTCTTCATTATTCATTCTTGTTATTTTTACTGCATATAATTCATTAGTTTCTTTTCTTCTCGCCAATTTTACTATTGCATGTGCTCCCTATCCTATACATTACTCAAATTATTATTACCCAGTATTTATAATGATTCATATCTATCCTCAAATTTTAAAGCATCATCAACAACGCTTAAACTAATTATTTCCGCTGTCTCTTCATCCTTCCCAAATTCTATTTTACATTTCAGTCTCTCTTTTAAAGAGTTGTTTTACTACATAATAATTATTTAAATTTATTATAAAAATACTCTTAACCATATTACATTCAGCTAAAAATATATTGTTTTTAATATCATATAATAATAATTAATTAGATTACCTATTGATTGATTTATTGGTATAATAATTATTTATTAATATTAAAATTAATTTATTAGACTTTCTAATTTTAATATTTTAATTTTGTCTAATTTAAAATTTTACATTTCATATATCCTTTTCCTCAGAATCGTACCAAAACTTCACCTTAATTTTTCGATTTCCATCAATAATTACATAGATAAAACCGTTTTCATTACAATCATTTCTTCTTATATTTTGAAGATTATATAATTGGTTTTTCAAATCAATTTATTTTTCTGTTTTTAAATCATACATAATAATTCTCAACCCATAAAAAAGATGATATTTATCTACCACTATAAAATTCTAATAATTAACTAGAAATAATTCAAACATAACAATACCTAATTATTTTAATATTTTTTGATGTTTCATATTTAAAACCTTATGAATATTTATTCATTATAAATTGCAATCAGAACCTAAACTTTTCTTTATTATTTAAAATGTAAAATGATTAGAGATTTGTTAAAATTGTAACATCTTCTTAATGATTTTCTGATTGAAATCATTATTACACGCATATAAACCAACTAATTCAATTTAATTTTAAAAAAGTATATTTAAGTTTAAGTTTGAGTATGAATCAAAAAATTACAATTGAAAAATTATTTGAGGATATAGTTATCATGTTATAATTACATGAACTAATCTAAATTATTTCTAATTTTTTTGCTTCTTCAAAACATTAAATATAATATAGATTTAATTATTAATTCTTCAATGTTAAATTTTATTTTATTTGTCTCTAAAATAATGTATAATTTTATATCAACCAACCTTGAGTTTATATCTAGGTATAAATTAAAATGGTTTACAAATTTATTCAAGAATAAGTGAAGTAACATAATTTGATAATAAAATTCACTATTCACTGTCCAATAACCAATTCTTTTACTTTTTAACTTTCTCTCTATGATAGAATGAATTTCTTTTTCATTGAATTTGAATTGAAAGAATCTAGAAGGTATTAATAAATAAAAAATATGATATTTAATAAAATAAATAATTTTTGTTTCATTCTCCCAAAGAACATTTAAATTTTTATATAAATCCTAAATCATCACCTATTAAAATTGCTTAATTATCCATAAATATGGCAGTAGGATATTAACTAGTAATATTAAATAATTATTATTTTGTGTTGTGAAAATAGGTTTTTGATTCATAAATACTTCCTCTGTTTGATATCAAAAACAAATATGGAATCGAAGGACTTGGAATTATTAAACTATTTTATTCTTCAAAATTGAATATTCTTACTATTTATTATTTAATCATTGAAATCATATAAAATTTAATATAACCAATCAAGACTAAATAGTTTTTGCTATTTTATTTAATTTCTTATATATTATCATTTATTTTTAATTCCCATTCAATTTATTGTAAAAATTAGAGATCATAAACTTTGAATGATCGATTAATAAATAAAGCTAATTTATTTCCTAATAAGTAATTAATGGTTGGAAAATTTGAATTCTATTACAATAATTCTATTTCTGAATAATTGTTTTAGAGAAGGCTTTTATAAAAATAGAGATTTTCCTTTTAATAAATTATATCTTATCCTCTCAATTAGAACCAAATTACTTCTTTGACTTAAAATTCTTCTATTAGATTAAATATCTTCTTTTTTTAATCAAAATTATAGAGTTATAATATATTATTGTACTAGACACCTAACTTATTTTCAAAATAATAAAATTTTTAGCAATTTATAATCTTTTATCTAAGACATTTTGATGATAAATTATAATTAGCTAAGGAATTGTTTTCAAATAAAATAAGACATGAATCAGGTTCTATATATTAGAGTAAAATAATTTTTTTTTCTGATTCATTTCCTACAGAAATAATTTCTTATTATTTAGCTCTAATTTCAACAAATTAAATTTCTTCTTCAACTGTTTAAGATTCAGTTGGAGTATTTATTTTAATCTTAAGTTTAGAATCAAGTCTCTAAGTAGTTTTATTTTAATTGTAAATATTTTAACATAATTTTAATAAATCTCCAATCTTAATAAGGATTTCTGCAGAATCAATCTTTAATTTGAATCCATTTTACCCAATCTCTACATTTTATGCTAATAATTTCCAATTTGGACTTTATTTTTGATATTCATTAAATAATAAAGCATATTATTCTTAATGAATAAGAAGTTTGGTTTAATAAAAAGTTTTAATTTTATCAAGAGTTTCCTTAAGGATTTAAATTTGTGTTAAAAAGAAGTTATCATCCAAAATAATATTTTAATTGAATAATTGATTGTAATAGGATCCTAACTCTTCAATTTTAAAACATGTGTGATTCCCATGCAAGATTTATAAATTACATTAAGGTTCCTGACATATATATTCTTTACTCATTTAATTTATTTTATTTAATCTTAATATCTCTCAAATTTAATCTGTCAAATGGCAAAATAAATAAAACATAAAAGACAAATAAATAAATAAATAAAATATATATATAAGTTTATTAATAGTTATTATCAATAGTTCTGATAATAATCATTTAGGTCTTTCAACTCCTAAAGCTATTAAAAATGAAGTCCAACAAGAAGTAGTTTTTTTGGTTGTATCACTCTATAATAAATAAATATAAATTCATACAGATCTGTTTTGTTATTCAAAAACTTCAACTTAATGTGATTATGGCTTATCTCCTCCTAATTCTTTAAATTACTGTTATTGAAGCAATTTCAATTCCATTTATCTTTTTTTCAATCTACATAAAAACATATTTCTACTCATTTTCTTTCTCTATTCTTTTTCTTTTTCTTTCTTCTTACTTCTATCTTTATCTTTCTTTCCTAGCAATTTCATCATAATCTTTAATAATAGGCAATTTACCGTTACCAATTTACTAGATATAAGATTATTAAATATATTACAATAGCTTCTAGAGTGATAGTTGCAATATCTGTTTGATTTTGTTCTTTTAATATAGTTTTGATCCATAATTCACATTCTTCCTTTGTTTATGTTTTAAACTTATAAATTTTTGAATCTTCTAATTAGATCTTAAAATTGGTAGATTTTTTAGGATTAGGAATGACTTCATCTACATTTAATAGATTAATTTTATTCTAAGCTTCTCTTGAATTAGAATTGATATACCAGTACATAAATCCTTTTCTAATTCTTACAAATCTATAATCCCAAGCCTTTGATTTTGGTTTCTTCTTATAGAGATAACCTTCATCAATGTATTCATCCTTTTCACTTGATTTTCTTTATTGCTATTATTAAGGAATCTTAATATTAATACACTATTTACTTATTCAATCTCATTATCATTAAAATCTAATCGAATATCTGCTCTTCTATTCACTTATTCTTATTATTGTTTTTCTTAAATAGAACTTTATTCCTCTTCTTCTTAACCTAGAAAATCAATAATTCTAACACTATCATCTTCAATAGGTTGTGTTTTATTGATATCATCAATTAAATTTTTACAAATTTCAATAGTTTCCTTTTTTTAATCCTTATCTAGATCAAATCTTAAAGTCATAATAGATTTAATTGTTTTTTCTGAAAATGCTCTACCAAAATACTATCTAAGATTCTTACAAGGATCTAAAATACTAAGAGATTCTTCATTTAAAAATGATATCATATCATCAAAAGGTTTAAGTGCTGCTTATAATTATTTCTCAAAAATAAATGTTTCTAATTCTTAAAATAGTATATCTTTATCATTTTCTAATTTTCTAATAAATTCATTCTATTATTCTTTCTTTGCCTTACTACAAGAAATAATAAATTAATTAAAATAATAGAGTATTATTGAATCAATAAGTTATTTCCAAAGTTTACGACTGAAACTATCATGCAATTATGATAATGCTTCAGTTGCAGGTTCAATTATACATTTTAAAGTATCTATAATTTTGATTTCCAGATAAGACTTTTTAAAATGAGTTCCAACCCGACTAAAATATGAAATAAAAATTCTTTCTCTACAATTAGTGGCAATTTAAACAAAATTCTTAGTAATTTTTTATCCGTCAAATATCTTTTCAATTTCTTCATCACTCAAATTGCCAAAAGATTATAGTCTTTTTGAATATTATTTAGTATTATCATGTAAAGCTAAAGTATTGTTACATATTGCAACTAGCTTAGATATATTAAGTTAATATTCATCAATAATTTCTTATATACCTCCTTAATACTATTACAGGATTACTTTACCAAAACCCCCGAATCTTAATACAGTTTCTTTACATGAACATAATTTAAATGCCATATCAAAACCTTCATTTACAATTTTGAATAAATCTACAGGAGTTTAAGTAACTAATTATCCTTAATCATTTAAAAATGGTTCTTAAATTCTTTCCTGTTCAATTATTTAATTGATTACTGATTCTAAACTTTCAAGTGATCGATTAACATATATATTTAAAAGTACTCTAATTCCTAATAATATACGTTCGTCATTAAAGAAATCTTTCATCTATTATAAATAATCATATAACCATTATCCTATTAGTAATAATTCTGGAGACTATATATGATATTAATGAATTTAATTACTTATAATTTCATATATTATTTATCCCAGAAATTGGTTATTCTATCACATATTTTCTCATGATAAATATCTGTGTATTCTTTTATTATATCTTTTCTTTAAGGATCTTTAACAATACTTGCTTACATAGACTCAAGCATATCTTATCTCAAATCTGTCAATTATTAAATCAATGTATTTAAATTAATATCTTCATCTCTGAATATTGCTGCTATATCTTATTCTAATTTTTATCTAATCTTTTCTCTTCTAGCCACTAATTATGTCTCTTCATCATACAATTTAATTAAAGGATCAATATTCTTTTTTATTTTTATTTTTAATGGATTATTAATTTCTTTTGTTATTCTAATTGATGCACTTAAAGCAGATTACCACTTTTAACGTTCCAATTCAGAATCAGCCATTAAATGATATAATCTATCTCCCATATTCAATTTAAAAGTGTAACCACTTTCTTTTGATTTAGACATATTTTTTATAATTATTTCTTAACAATCTAACATTTTAACATCTCCCTTAGCTTTTGGAGGTTTGCCTTCTTCTTTTTATTTGAAATAGGTTATAGTATCTAATTCTAACCATGGTGGTAATTATGATTCATGTAATATCTTTTCATCATTATAATCAGGATACTATGGATTTATAATATTGTTACCAAAGGTTTAGCTGATACAAGTATAAACCAACGTTTTTAAAAATACTTGACCTTTCCTTTACTTCTCTTACCCAAGTAACCATAAATCATTCTCTAATAAATAAATTATTCATTCATATTTTTGATGAATTCTTTTAACCCTACTAATTCAATCATTTTATCATTTGACAATTATGAGACATTCTACTTTTCTATGATTTTCTTATCTTCTTTAGATAAGTCAATGAGAAGAGAGTTACGTTGCCTCTCTTTATATACTTAAGCTTATTATGCTGTATATGTATCAACAATCTTATGGTTTGAGACTACAAAATAAGAAATATCTTACTTTTAGTAGGAGTTTCATCTGCCATCTTAACCACTGAATCCATGCTGACTTATCTCTTTGTTCTTTGAGGGGATGTAGTAGAACGAAGAGTATTTAGAGTTGAAACCCATTATTGACACAATTCTGGAGTTTTAACTTTTAATTCTAGACTTCGACCTGGAAATTAAATAGTGAATTCCTTTTTAGATATCTAATTTATAGATGTAATGCTTTATAAATCAAAAGCACCATTAGGCTTAGTGTCAGTTTTCTACATTCTTTTTATTTTCTTACATCATTATCAAAATAAACTAATTTCCAAAGTCCTTCCTATTAGTTCTCAACCAACATAAAGTAACGCTTTTACCAACCTTTTAAGAGAGCAGGACTTTTCTTTTTCATCCATCCTTTCATAGGTTATAATTCTAATTTATTTTCTATTTTTTTTAATTCATCAGAATATTGATCAATTGAAGATGTAGAGACTGTGAGAGCAGACCTCTGTTTTTCATATCCATTAGACATAATTGCTATTGGAATATAATAATTATTAAAATATCTAGTAATAATATTAGTAATATTACACTAATAGTAGTATATAATAGAAATATATATCATATATTTACAATATTTAACCATTTATTTAATTTAAAATGTTCCCCTCCCTTAACTCAATCAAGAAACCCAAAAAGAGTTTCAATTTACTGCATCTTGAGACATAAGAATAATACTTTCTCTCACTCAAAGTGGCATTGATACCTAGCGTAAAAAGTGATGAGTAAGATATTTGTATATTGAATCTAATTTCAGAATTCGAGGCAAATTACATCTTTGTTCTCGTTCGTTAGTTTTTGAGCCTAAATAAACCTAATTGCCCTTGATGAAAATGAAATATAGCAATGGACTCTTTATGAAAGTACTCAAAAATTTCGAACCAAAATCACTTAGTCTTCTGCTTAGTATTCGTTGGGGCTATCAATTAATGTAGGAAGAAATCGATCAACTCGATTTAGCATCAATTTTAAATTAATAAAAGGGAGAATAAGTTTCTACTATTATTGATTACTAAATTAGAAATCCAACGAACTTTTAGAAAAGCTATACAATAAATAACGAAAGAACATGATTTAATTAGCATCCAACTGTTTCTTCATTAAAGTCGATAAACTCTTTATTGTTAATCGCAATCCTATAAGTCCTTACATCACTGAAACTGTATAACACTAATTCTATATCTAGTGCGATGATAATATTGTGTTCACTATATCCAAATCTAATTCCAAACAAATCCTTATTCGTTATCTTAAATTGTATTAGGCAATTAATTAAGCTGAAGATGAAGCCACATTCATAAACTAAACTATTCAACAAACCTTAAGTGATAGTCTTTTTGAACATAAATAAAATGCTGGATCTGAAGGTCATAAAATTGAATTTGTTCATAAAGGTAAATCTTCATTACTAAATATATATTAGCCAAACTTATTAAACCTGAAGGAGTAATTTATGGACTATTCAGTATTTAAAGAGAAGAAATCTTGTTATTTATTCCATTAATTAATTCACCTAAGGGAAAAATTATGCAATTCATGTTCACTGATATTAAATATTTTCTCAAATATAGATACATGTTCAAAAATAACGGACTTGAATTTTGGATGTACAACAAAAAGAGGTCTTATCTTTTTGTGTTTGATGACTAAAATACTTAAGAGTCAATCTTTAAATATTTTTAAAAAAAAGCAACTAAACATTGTTTATCTGCTTTGACAAGAGAAAAAATTATTGAGGAATGGGTTAATGGGAATATGTCTAATTTTGATTATTTGATGGCATTAAATACTTTGGGTAATAGAAGCTTCAATGATCTCTCTGCTTATCCTGTTTTCCCATGGGTCATAGCAGAATATAATGAAAAGGATTTTAATGTTAATTCTCCCTCTTTTTTTAGAGATCTTTCAAAACCTATGGGTGCATTAAATAAACATAGATTACAAAAATATAAAGTAATCACTAAAATATAAATATGTAGGCCTTCTATAAAGATCAATTAAAAGATAAAAAACAGGATCCTAAACCATATTTATACCCAACACATTATTCTAGTCCAGGAACTGTAGTTTACTATATGATCAGAAAAATACCAGAGTTTGTGATAAAACTATAAAATGGTGTTTTTGGACCTACAGATAGAATATTCAGAGGTATTGATTCTACTTGGTTTACTACTCTAAATCTTCATGCAGATTCTAAGGAACTTGTACCAGAGTATATAATTTGATAAAATAGATTTTATGGATTAGATAGTGATTTTTTAGTTAATTGTGATAAATTAGAATTGGGAGTAACTTAAGATGGAGAAGTTATTGATGATGCAGTTATACCAGCATGGGCTGAAAATGCTCCAGACTTTTTAGCCAAAATGAGGATTGCTTTAGAGAGTCCTTATGTTTAAGTTAATCTTCCTTTGTGGATTGATTTGATTTTTGGAAATAAAGCTTCTGGAAATGAAGCTGTTTTAAATGATAATTTATTCTATCCTTATACTTATGCAGAAAATGTTAATTGGGATAAGTGTAAAACTGAAATTGAAAGACAAGCCTTAGAAATATAAGTTACTGAATTTGGTTAAGTACCTGTGTAATTATTCTAAGCACCTCATCCTTAGAGAAAGTTGAAAATATAAGGAAATTTAAAATAATTAGAAGAAGAGAAGAAAGATCTTAAATAATAAAATTAAAATTTATAAAATAAAATTTAAAAATTAACTCAGTAAATCTAATAGAGTTAAGATAAAGAACTAGTTTAATAATTGTAAACTCAATTGGCAGCTCTCTAATGGGAAAATGAAAAATTAAAATTCAATCTTGAAACTTTTAAATAAGAAATGATTGCTAATAAAGAGGTTATATAAACATTTAATTCATAATTTGATTAAGAAGATTTTGATAAGAATGGCTTTGATTTTTTAAATGATGACAGCCTATTGGATAGTTCAAAAAAACCTAATTCCTGAATGATTCTAATATAGATATAAATTATAAGTTTGTTTTACTTTTTATATAGTTTTATTGAGTAAATATAATTATGGTTTTTTAAAATCATAATTCTTGTTTAAACTGATAAATTTATTGTTGTAAAAAAAATAGATTATATATTTTTACAATAATTTTAACGTTTATCCTTTTATTCTCCCTTCGATTAATAATACCATCATTTTAGAGAAATTAGAATAAGATTATTATATTAGATTGAGTTTAATAAACTATTTGATCATGCTTGTAAATTAATTAAGGCAAAATCAAATTAACCTTATTTTAAATTAAAGCAAATTTAGTAAGTTGAAAGTAATTTATAAGCTACAACAAATAAAAAATTTAAATGATTCAAATATTAATCTGATATTAGAGAATTAAATGCTGAATTATATTAAAGTAAGGATATTTAATAAATTTGATCTAAAAGTTTGTGAAAATATTTGTTGAGATTCAGCTGAAATTAAATAATAGAAAATCTATAAAGAAAAAGTTCATCAAAGTTATTTTAAGATTTATTAAGAAAGGGAAGAGAAACAATTATGAAAATTAAGATATAACAGAATTGAGAAAAGAGTACAAAATATCATATCAAATTTTAAGTATTGCATCAAATAATCAAGCAATTTTTGACAAAATAAAAATTTATACAGCGGAAAAAAAACAGTTAAGAGAGGATATAAATAATTACAATCATAAAATCAGATTTATAAGAACTTTTTTATAGAATGAAGAATTTAAAAATTATAAATACATAAGGAGAATTCGAGAAAATTAAAAAAGGATTGAGATTCTATCATATCGTTGTAAAAAAAAGAGTGGAGTGAAATAAATTAAATAGAGATGGAAAATATTATAATTAGAATCTATTAAAAATAGTCAAAATAGTAAATATGACAACAATTAACAAGGGAGAAAGATAAAAATAATAGCAAATAATAGATTAAATCAATTAGTAGAGGATATAAAAATAAGGAATAGGTTAGGAACTAAATAATAACAGAATCTAAATGAGTGATAAAATCCTTATATGAAGTAATAACTGGAAAAGCAAATGAAAATTTAAAAGATAAGTGGGAATTATATAACCAATTTCGATGAGAAATGTAAGAAAAGCAATAAATAGATCACCAGAGTAGATAAGTAGTATTTAAAATTTATGAGGGAGAGTAATATATTTTGAACATAGGAAATGAATTTAAATTATAAGTAAATAGAAGAGATAGAATTGGCATTTTATAAATAAGTAGAATAACTGAAACAAATCTTTTTTATGAAAGGTAATGATGTAAGTTTAATTATAAGACTAAGCGATGATACAATGATCATAATTAGGAAACAAAGAGAAAAAGATATGAATTTAAATAAAGAGATATCATTTCGATTAGAAAAGGAGGGAACAATAAAGGGGAGATAATGGTGTTAAATAAGAGTATGAATAATAGATATAAGTAATATGTTTTGAGAGATAAATTGATGTTTGAGAATTGTCTTTATAAAATAAAATATCAAGAAATACCAACTGAAATAAAATTAATTAATATGGGTTCTTGTTGTTAAAGTAGCCAAGTAGGTCGAGATTAGTATATATTCCCAGATGGAGGAGTGTATACTGGAGAGTTGAAAGATGGACTACCTGTACGAATGATAATAATTAAAAGCATGGTGTAGGAGCAATATCATTTGAAAATGGATCATCATTTGAAGGCCATTTTGAGAATGGAATGAAAAATGGTAAGGGTGTTTACAGATGGGGTGATAATTCTTATTATGATGGAGAATTTTAGAATGACGCATTCAATGGTTATGGTGAGTATTATTGGAGTAATGGTAAATGGTACAAAGGATAATGGATATAAGGGAATATGTAAGGAGAAGGCTAATTCTTTTCTGATGGTAAGACATATAAAGGTGAGAATTTTGAATGAAAATAATAGGGGAGTTTGAAAATGATAAGAGAAATGGGAAGGGAGAGTAAATATGGGCAAATCGATAAAAATATATAGGAGAATGGAGAAATGGTAAAATGCATGGAAGAGGATAATTAATAGAGCCAAATGGGAGTGTTATAGATGGCTAATGGGTGAAGGGAAGAAAGTAATGATAATTTTAGTATATTAAATTTTATAATTATATATATATTTTGATGGGTAGTGTATGTAAGACAATTCATAAAACTCAAGTAATTGAGAATGGTGTATTTGAGTTTTAATAGGTTATGGAAACTAAAGCCTGTGAAATAAAAAGTGATTTACCAGAAGTTTAAGAGAAATGTGCAACAAAAATATAGGCTTTGTATAGGGGTCATTCAGTACGTAAGTAGGTATTGAGTACATCATAAATAAAAAGAAAAAAGAAGTAGAGGATTCTTTTCCACCTTTAAAAGATGTAGCAGTTCCGATTGAATAAGTTCCTGAGATATATCATCATACAGTTTCAAAAGTTCTATTGTAATTAGGACCTTTTGATGATTCAAAGTGTCAAACAATGATGGGAGTTAAAACATTACCTGCTTATTAATTTGTTGAGAAGGGAGGAATTTATATAGGTTAATGGAAAAATCATAAAAGAAATGGTAAAGGAAAATATATATTTCCGGATGGTTCTTTATATGAAGGATCTTGGGTAGATGATAAAGCAAATGGTTATGGTAGGTTAATAGTTTATACAGGGGATTATTATAAAGGAGAGTGGAAGAATGATAAGAATGATGGTTATGGTATTTATGTACATTCTGATAAATCTTAATATGAAGGATTTTGGAAGGATGATTATAGACATGGATAAGGAACTGAAACATGGGCTGATAAATCTGCTATTTATGATGGCAGCTTTTATATGGGAGTAAAAGAAGGTTATGGAATATATAAATGGGCTGATGGATCTAATTATGAAGGAGGATTTAGAAATAACTAATTTTAAGGATAAGGAATTTATTTATGGTCTAATGGTAGTAAATATGATGGATATTGGTAAAATAATAAGATGAATGGTTAAGGTGTTATGACATGGGCAGATGGTAGAAAATATATAGGTATAATTCTTTATCTTATAAGGGGAGTTATAAGGATAATAAAAAAGATGGTTATGGTGAATTCTATTGGCCTGATGGTAGAATTTATAAAGGATAATGGTAAAATGGATTACAGCATGGAGAAGGGATTAATATTGATAAAAATGGTAAATAAACATCAGGAGAATGGTTTGAAGGATAACGAAGATGATTTAAATATTTTTATTACTTAATCATCTTTTATATCTCCTTTTAATATATATTTAATATGAAACTTTAATCTCAAGATTTTAGGTTTCTAGACTCTAACAAATTCTAAAGCATACCATAATTGTAAGTAATAATATTCCTAAATCTATATAGATTCTAGTTATAGGAGATGGATCTACGGGAAAAACATCACTTCTTAATATACTCACTTATAGAAAATACCCAGTCTAACTTAAATCCTTCTAATCCAAAATACCTATTAAAACATAAGGATGTGATATTAAAATTGCTTTGAGGAATCTATCCAATTCAAAAGTTCTTCTTAAAATGATTGATCTTTCTGGAGATAAATCATAACGATAATATCTAGATATTTATATTTCTAGACTCAAATTAGATGCTATTATATTTTGTTTTGATCTTACCAATCTTAAAACATTGACTAATTTCTCTAAATGGATTAGACAGCTTACTTTAAAGGATACTATCTTTCATGAAATTGATGAATACCTAGACACAGATAGAAGTGATTTCTCTACGCAAAATACAACACTTATTCATGATGATTAAACTTATCTTATCAATAATCATGATTACAAAAGAATATCTATTGAAAAAATACTCTAAACACCTTTCATTTTTATTGGTTGTAAACTTGATCTCATTCCTTCTGAAAATCATCGCAAGTTGGCATCATAAGTTTATAATAAAGTAATTGTATCTCTAATTAATTTAGATTCAATAATTTTATAAATAACCTAATTAAGTAATCTTATTAAGTAGTATTTATCCATCATTATATTCTGATCAATTTAATCTGTTAGAAAGTTTTATTACTAGGGTATATTAAAGAGATCATATTGAAGATTTCTTTATTAGAAATTTCATATAATCCAAATCTACATCAACAGATGAGTCTTTTTGGATAAACACTTTCTAAACTTAACTTCGAAATAATAAACAATTGCTGTGCATTTATATTAAACATTTTTGTAAGAAATTACTACTTCTAAAAATGAAAAGATGATTAATTTTTGGATAAATGTTTAAAGTATTTAAAATAATAACATCACCATTTATAACCAATTTCATCTTAATTCTTTTATTATAATCTATTATTACATATTTACTTGATTTATCTTGTATGTACATAGATTAGATAACAGACTATAAAATATACATTAATTTTTATAAACTGAACATAAATATTTTGTGGTGATTATTGACCAACAATTTAAGAAATATTATTTTTCTTTGCCGTCTGTAATTTCTTAAAATGATACAATTCTTTTACAATCATATATTATATTATTACCAAACTAAAATGTAAGATGATCAAGTCTTAGAGCGAAGTCCACAAGATACATTAAGAATTCCACCACGATTATCAATAATGGAAAAAAAATGCAGTGGTCGTTTTACATTTGTGAAGACCTAAGATGAGGAATAGAAAGAAGTAGTTCAAAACAATATGAATCGAATAAAATAGCAATTTAGATGTAAAACTAGTAATAAACCATAGGTTAACTTAATCACATAATAAATAAACCTATTCAGCCTCTGCAGATAAGAGAAGAATAGTTATTTGAATTGGGCAAAAAATTGGACATCGAAATAACATCAAGTGATGCTGAAAACATTGTACCAAATACAAAAGAGTTTTTTGAAGAGTATGAAATGCATGAAAGATTAGGGGAAGGTTGTTTAGGTTTAGTAAAGAGGGTTGTATAGAAAAGAACAGGTTAGGAATTTGCAGTAAAAATTGTGGCTACTTAAGATGATGAGATAATCCGAAATGTAAGTGATATTTGAAAATGATTAGATGATTAATGAGTTTAAGAGATTGATAAAACTATCACATGGCAATATAGTTAAAGCATATAAAATGTACTTAGATTTTGATAATGGATTCTAATCTGAAAGCCAGGCATATGTGATAATGGAGCTGATAAAGGGTAAAGAAATGTTCGAAGTAATAAATGAGACTGGACATTATAGTGAACATGATGCAAAAGAATTATTCAAATAATTGCTGAGTGCAATTGAATATATGCATAGACATGGTATTTGTCATAGAGATTTAAAACCTAACAATATACTATGTCTTTCAGGTATTAGATAGTAGCTAATATGAAATAGATAAAAAGCTAATAAAAGTCACTGATTTTAATGTGAGTAAATTCAGTGATTCTTACAAGGAATTTGGTAATTTGTAGGATACTGAAAAAATAGAGATGTGGACTTATACAGGAACAGTAGCATTTTCAGCACCAGAAATATTCACTGGTGAAGGATATAAGTAATAAAATTAAAGATATATATATATAGTTAAATGGTTGATATGTGGAGTGCAGGTTGTATTTTATATTCAATGTTGTCAGGATAATTACCATTCAATGGAGATTAGTATTAAATCTTAATTAAATATGATAAGTTTAAACGATCTCATTGAATCTATTAAGGAAGCAAAATATGAGTTTCCTGAAGAAGTCTTTTAAGAAGTCTCCAATTAAGCCAAAGATTTAATTCAATAATTATTACAAAAGGATCCAACTCTTAGACCACATCCAGATGAGGCACTTAATCATCCATGGTTTGAAGAAATCATTGTGAGAAAAAGTTTACGACATCTAACGATTAATAAAAATATATCTCATCTCTCTTCTAGAAACTCAAACAAATTAAAATAAAGAACCATATTATTAAATAGGGGACTTTATGCAGGCTCTAGTGATGGAGATGAAGGATATACTATCTAGGATATGAAAATTAAGGGCATGGCTCGAAAAAGTCTTTTTAACACTATTAATGCCCCTTTAGAGCTATAATCTGATAATAAATATTTAAAGGTATAAAATGCAGTGCTTCGAAAATCTAATACAACTCATATCAATGATTTTATATAAAATGATGAATAGTGATATATAAAATTAATTAATAAATAATTTTTTGGTTATTCAAAAATATCTTTACATCTTTTTATTTTATTTACTATTTATGAATAAACAAAATTTGAATCTCAATTATTAGTTAATTTAGCATTCCAAAATTATACTATTCCTTAGACTCATCTCTTATACACTATTTAAAAAATACAGACATGAAGAAATTAACTCAAATGAAATTAAAATTCCTTAATTTGGATCAAATAATTTTAAAGGAAAAGTACTATCTTCTTTTTATGAAATCTAGAAATTTAAGAAAGCTCATGTTGGACTTAAAATTACCACCATTTTATACTAATCCTTATATCAACATAGATTAACTCCATTAATATATTATCAAATCCCTTAATCCATTGAAAATTTTCATTAAACCTATACATATCATATCAATTATTATACTTATAAGGAATTCTATTTTAGGGTTATTGTTTTGATATTACAAATAAAGATACTCTACAAAAGTAATTGAAGATTGGTTTAAGTTATTTAACAGTAATATATTGCTAATTTGTTATTGTCAGTATTATTTAATCATGAGATATTTATACATACAGATACATTTTATATGATAATATAATTAATTAATCAAATTAGAATAGTTGGCAAGTTTTTATAATTATTTCTACTTTAAAATTTGTCTATTACAATTGATTTTACTAACCACCAATAAAGAAACTAAAATATGTGTTGACAATTAGATGAATCCAATTAAAATTTTTAAATTTAAATTATAAAAAAACTTATAATATAATAAATTGATCTTCAAAAAAATTTCGCCTGCAATGGTTTCATAGCTTAACTAAAAGTAAAATATCTAACTATTTTGAATTATAATATATAGCAACTAAAATATTGATAATTTAGAAATAAGTATATCTTATCTATTTTAGCAAGAGAATTAACAATATTGAATATCTATTTTAGTAAAATAGTTTCTATTAATATCAATAAAATTTGAAAAGAAGAAAATGAAAAAAGGTTGAGCATTTAATGAGAATAATAAGTTAAGAGGTATTATTATTCATTAAAAGAAGAAAAGCTTTTGAAGTAATTGGCCACGTTTTGTGATGTAAATTCTAGAAATAGAATGATGAAAAGAAACTTGTTAATAATTGTTTTTGTGAACATAACTATTCAATATCCAGAATCAGCAAGATACTTTGCCATATCAATTACACGCTTATTACAATCGCTAGCATTTTATGGAGCACCATTTTCAGCATTGATTGTTTGGGAGAATGAAGCAAAGACAGCTGCTGTATTAGACCAAGCAATACAAGCTCCACCTTTATTCTATGATAATGAATATATTATATACCTTCTTTAAGTACCAGGTCTTGGAATCATTATCAAATTACACTGAATAATATTTTTGATTATTGAATCTAACTCCAGCTGGATTTCCTGAATTTCCATTGTGAGAAAGTGCATAAATAAAAGCAGCCTTTTCATCATAAGCCACTTTAACTGTTGCGTCTGGATTTTTCTCGTCTGGCACATCAGTTTAATAAGATGGGAGAACAGCAACACCAAAATTGCTAGCCCAAATGTTTCCATCTAATCCAATAATAGCAGCATATTCAAGTGCGCCATTAGCTGTCAAGTTTGTAACATAAGCATCCCAAGACATTGTTATTTAATATAATTATTAAAAAACATATCTTCTTGATCTGCAACATATATAATGAATTAATTGAAGATAATAGTACTTATATATTGTTAATGATAAAAATTACACAATTACAGACTTACTTTAATATCCCATTGATTTTATTTACAAAATTCTTCCTTTATTTATTCATTATACATTTGCTACTTTTTTTAAATTCTAAGCATTCAAGATTGTGTTGAGCTACAATACCCCATAATTATTCAAATCTATGTCTATCTTCTGAGTGGATATGATCGGAATAATAGTTCTAATTAAACAGAAAAATATATTCTAAAAAAATTTATATTTATAACAATTTATTTTTATTTTAAACAAGTGCTATTCAAGAGTAATTGAAATTATTATACAATTCTGTTTTTGTATCAAGGAATATTTATAAATTTAATATTTATGTCATATTCCAAGAATAATCATAAATATTATTTCTTATTCAAATCTTTTATAGTAATCTAGTAAAATTAATAGAAACAATATCAATTAACTAAAGCAAAGAATTAAGGAGAAGTTTTTTTTATTTATGCTATATACATCTAAACATTGATTCAAAATAATAAAATACTCTTAGGATCTGTTTTTCTAGATTCAATATAATTTGAATAATCTATTTTTTTAAATAACTATCTAGATTATTCACTACTTTTTTATTATTATTAATTTATTATAATGATAAACTAACTTATAATACTTGTAATTGTACCCTACTCTCTGATTTCGCAATATGATATTTTTTATAATTCTATTTCTATAAATAGGTTTTCTAACTTTTTTTTTTTTTTTTAAGATTATTTAACTTCAATTTATACATTCTCCCAAGACCACTATCTAATATGACAAAAGTCAGATTTCATGAGTTTATCTAACTGCTCAAAATAAAGAATAAGCTTAAACTTTATATAATTTTATTAGAGGCATCAAACTTTTGATTTTCCTCATATCCATTAATCCTATTATTTTTATTTATATCTTTGTTTCTCTGTCTGAAATTCATAAATTATACTCTTTAATTACATATCTTGTTTAAAAATTCAAGTGGTTTTCCATGAGGTGCTTATCTTAGAGACATTAGATTTAAAAAAAAATTCTTTTCAACATTTACAAAGAGTCGAAATTTTCACTCCTTCTCTTTTATCATGCAATATATCTTTCATATACTTTTGTTAGACAATAAGTATTCTTTTCTTTTATTGGCAGGGTTTCTTATGATTCATAAAATTTCATTCTGAAATTTTTAAGGAAAATGAAATTTATCAACTGATATTTAAATTATGAACAGATAAGCAGGCTTGCATCTCTTTCTAAAAAATAGTCTAAGATAATTTCATTTATTTAACAGATCTTAATAATCCTTAAATTGAAGCCGTATATGTTTTTAATACTTTTATTTTTCATTTAATTTAGAGTTACATCAGCACTATTCTTTTAGTAGTATTTCATTTTGTGGTTATAAGATTAGGTAGTGTATTGTAATAATCGATCTCTATTCTAAATTTGAATATCCTATCAAATAATAATGAGCTTTGATTTCATTAGTGATAATAAAAATAGTTTATTTATTATTCAACTATAGGAAATGAAAACTTCGAACTACAAGCATTAAGTCATCTTTGATTCCCATGAAAAACCCATTAAACTAGACATGAAGACCTATCATAAATATAAAACCAATATTATGCTTTAACCTAAAATATCTCCTAGAAAAACTGATAAAGTAATCTATAATTAAAAGATGGTTAATGATTATGTTGACATTATTAACCATCGATTGAAATTAGTTGATGCAGATCTTGATTCCATGAAAATTCAACAGAAAAATAATTCCATGTATAAATCTATAAGTTCATAACATACAAAATAAATATCACTTATTGAACCTATTAATACGGATAAGCTTTATAGTAAAACTAATCTCGATAATCATTCATCATTTATAAATAGTCGTAAGTCTCTAACTAAAGAAGATAAATTATATTTATTATCAGATCCACTTCAAGAAATGCTCAAAACAAGGCAATCCATAACTGATTTAAGGGCAATAGAAATTGAAGGAGACGAATTTACATAACAATATAAGAATAAAATAAATGAAGATTATGAAAAAGAAATTTGTCGAAAAGATATGATTCAAAGAAGGATTTTTGATAGTTAATTAAAATATCAAGGAAACAACTCTATCAAATAATTTATATTCCAATAAAATATGAAAGCATCACAAAAATTTCATACTGAACCTATTGATAAAAATATTCACATAATTAAAGAGTTCACTGTCGATGATAAATTCGAAAAACCTAAGTTATCCAAACTTATTACCAATAATAAAATGCATCTGAATGCTCTTAAATCTACAGGTATTAAGTCCTTTTAGGAATCGGAAAACAATTCTAGTGCTCAAAGATTTGAAGATTTATATAAAACATGCAATAATTTCTATAAGGAATCTCGATAAATTAAAACAAAAATTATGAGACTTAAACGTTAAACATGGAGGAAGTATTAAAAAATTTTATAAATTGGAGTGTCTTAGAAAGAAATTAAATATGATTGAAGATATTTTACTATTGAAAATATTTTTTTTAAATACTTTATAATTAAACAAAAAACTCTTTCATAAATATTCCTAAGAAATTTTCTGACACTATATTTTTAAAATATTTTTTAGACTTAAAATGGTTTTGTCTTAATGCGTTTAAATAATTTATAATAACATCTCTAAATAGATATTGATTTTTTATAGTAAGCTGAATTTGTTTTAAAATTATTATTGGAAAGAACACAGGTATCTACAAGACTAGTTTATTTAATTAATAAAATTTATAGAGAATTTATAAAATTTCTAAAAATGCTGAATTTATGTATATTGATAAATAAAATAATAGCTGTAAAATTTTAAACATTAATTAGTTAATCTGATTCTAAAAAATTATAAAGTTTATAATTTGATATAAACATAATGTAAAAAGAAAATGGATTAGTTTTAATAGTTGATATAGTTTTAGAAGAGAGTAAGTGTATAGATTTGAAACTTATAATAAATAATTATATAATTACGATATATATGCTATCTGATCAAATAAAATAGGTATTGTCAACAAAAACTACTTCTTTTCTCGCGCCTAGGTTCTCTCGAAAAACAACTTTACTAAAGAAGAGAAATAAAGCTCTTTCAACATGTAGTCTTGAAGAGATAGCAACATATACATNTTTACATAACAATATAAGAATAAAATAAATGAAGATTATGAAAAAGAAATTTGTCGAAAAGATATGATTCAAAGAAGGATTTTTGATAGTTAATTAAAATATCAAGGAAACAACTCTATCAAATAATTTATATTCCAATAAAATATGAAAGCATCACAAAAATTTCATACTGAACCTATTGATAAAAATATTCACATAATTAAAGAGTTCACTGTCGATGATAAATTCGAAAAACCTAAGTTATCCAAACTTATTACCAATAATAAAATGCATCTGAATGCTCTTAAATCTACAGGTATTAAGTCCTTTTAGGAATCGGAAAACAATTCTAGTGCTCAAAGATTTGAAGATTTATATAAAACATGCAATAATTTCTATAAGGAATCTCGATAAATTAAAACAAAAATTATGAGACTTAAACGTTAAACATGGAGGAAGTATTAAAAAATTTTATAAATTGGAGTGTCTTAGAAAGAAATTAAATATGATTGAAGATATTTTACTATTGAAAATATTTTTTTTAAATACTTTATAATTAAACAAAAAACTCTTTCATAAATATTCCTAAGAAATTTTCTGACACTATATTTTTAAAATATTTTTTAGACTTAAAATGGTTTTGTCTTAATGCGTTTAAATAATTTATAATAACATCTCTAAATAGATATTGATTTTTTATAGTAAGCTGAATTTGTTTTAAAATTATTATTGGAAAGAACACAGGTATCTACAAGACTAGTTTATTTAATTAATAAAATTTATAGAGAATTTATAAAATTTCTAAAAATGCTGAATTTATGTATATTGATAAATAAAATAATAGCTGTAAAATTTTAAACATTAATTAGTTAATCTGATTCTAAAAAATTATAAAGTTTATAATTTGATATAAACATAATGTAAAAAGAAAATGGATTAGTTTTAATAGTTGATATAGTTTTAGAAGAGAGTAAGTGTATAGATTTGAAACTTATAATAAATAATTATATAATTACGATATATATGCTATCTGATCAAATAAAATAGGTATTGTCAACAAAAACTACTTCTTTTCTCGCGCCTAGGTTCTCTCGAAAAACAACTTTACTAAAGAAGAGAAATAAAGCTCTTTCAACATGTAGTCTTGAAGAGATAGCAACATATACATAATAAAAAAGCTAATAATAATAGCCTTAAACTAAGTAACAAGTAGCAAGATCTGAATCCTAACACAATCCAATAACTCCTATAGCGACTCCTTAACAGAGTAATTCAGTGAGTTGTCAAACAAATACATCTCTATTTGATGAACCTCTGCCTGACATTCCTGCATCAGATCCAATATGGTTGGAGATAATTCCTTAGGAAGTGTTGTAGGGATCAACAGTAGAATAACTTCTCGAAGACAATAAAGATTATTTTTATTATTTGTTGGGATTGTATCTACAGGAATAAATGCATGGAGATTTTAACATGAACAAATTTATTTTGCCAACTAAATGGTAAAGTTAATATGGACGTGATTTTCCACAAAAGTAAAAAGAAAGATAGGAAATAATAAAAAATACTATTTATGAAGATTATAAATCTCCTTAAACCTCAGAGTTTTCAAAGACCAGTTATAAAAGTCATTATTCAGCTTATCCAATAAAAGATTACAATCCTAAGCTAGAAAGAAGAATGTATGAGAAAAGTGATTTAAAATTCGCTACTTTAACAACTTATAAAGTATGAGATTTTACAATAGTGATTAGGCTAATCATTTTGATTTCTAAACGAATTATAAACCTGAGAAGGTTACAGCATCTAGACATTTAACAACTGGAGGATTAACACTATCTTCTTAGACTTTATATAAAACAGAATATTAATGGCCTTAGCCAATAGAATAACCTTCAAATTGTAAAAATATCTATTCTAAATTGTAATAAATATCGTTATTATAATTAGAAATCCTATTCAATCATCTGGAATCTTTTTCGATAAATAACGAGATATATATAGTAAATTCCCTGTTGATCCTATTTGTAAATCTGCTCCTTATTCATAAACTCCTACATATTAGAAATAGTATGTTTCAATAACTAAAAAGTATTTTGTTTTTTGAATTAAAATTAGTGATTTCTAAGCAGGAAAACTTGGAGAAGTGGCTTAAATGAAAAATTGGAGACAAAGTGTGATTAGGAGAATGAATTAATTGAGAAAACAATCGCAAATATGATCTTAAATTGTCAATATTCATCTAATTTCTTATGAACTTTTGAGAAGGCTGTGCTAGTGTTCAGTCCATCAAACTTGTGAGTCTCTCCCAAAAAGGCTTAAGTGAAACGTGCATCTCTAGGATAATATTTCTCAATCAATTCAAATGATGATGGATTCAATTGTCCATATTGCATATTAGATGTTTCATATATTGGTAATCCTATAATTAATGATCTATTTATACCAACATTGATTCCTTAAGGAGGAGCCTTGTACTCCTATTCAGTGACATGAAACTTCTTTGAAGGGACCTTGTTATCTAGTTTCCTACGTTACTTTTCTTCTTCAGAAATAGGTTAAGATATCTCAAGCCCAATCGTTTGAGCAACCAATTTGTTTTTCAGTAATTTTTCAGCTCTTCTAAAGTCCTATTAATGTTAATTATAGAATTCTCACTTGCATTTGACGTACAATTTCAGCATAAGTAGGCACAGGACATGATGTCATATCTACTTATTGTTATCCATTATGTAATAACCAACCATCACCATATGATTAGTTATTTGTGATATAATGAGCTGATTAATTTTTATTCATTTTTAATAATGAAACATCATGCTAAATTATTAATCATATGTCCATTCGAATTTATTGGATTTTAAACCTTAGATCATAAAATAGAAGATTATCTTAAAACAAATTAAGAAGAAATAGTTCTTTATTTAATAGGAACTCCAATAACATATCTAAAAGTTTATGAGAAAATATTATTCCATCTATATGACAAAACACAAAATTATCCTACAAAATTCAGTGTGATTTTTGATTCATTAAACAAACAATTCTTAAATAATCACAAATTTGATCTGGTTATAAATTTAGGCACTCCATTATAAGGTGATTTTAATATTCAACTTTCATTCAATCATGAAGTTTAATAGATCTAATTTTCTGAAGAAGGATATAAAATAAATCAATTTTAGAGAGGTGCTAATGGTGGTACTTTTGATCATTTACACATTGGACATAAAATTCTTCTAAGTTTAAGTTTACTGACAGTTAGCTAACATTTGACTATAGGTATAACTGGAGAAATATTATTATAAAAGAAGAAATTGAAAGGTTTCTTATAATCTTATGAAACTCGTTCTAGATGTGTAAAAGAGTTTTGTTTAATGTTCCGACCTGATATTGAATTGTATTTCTCTGAATTGATTGAGCCTGCAGGACCAACCAAGAATGGATAATATGAAGTATTAATTGCTACATAAGAAACTTAAAAATCTTTAGAGTATATTAACAATCTTAGGAAGGAATTGAATTTAAATTAATTAGAAGGTTATATTATTGGAATGATTGAAAATTAGGTTAATTAAGGAGAGGTAAAAATATCATCCACTTAATTCAGAGAATAAATTTAATCATAAAATAGATTGACTGAGTAAGAATATTTGGAACTCAAATAAGAATGGTTATCTGTAAGTAACAATCTTTATTGGTTTGAATCTATTCTTGTGGATTATTATTCTTAGTCTTAAAGACATTATCACACTCTAAGACACATCTATGATATGCTAAAATAGTTAAAAGGAGCAAAAAATATTTAAAACGTCAAATTAGCAACATTTTTTCATGATGCCATTTATTATCCTAAACTTCATGATAATGAAGAAAAAAGCTGTTTGTTATTTTAATAATTTGCATAAGAATGTAAAATAGACTCAGAAGTTATCTCTATTTTTATTTTATAAACAAAAAGTCATCAAACTGATGTTTCATTCTTATCAGAAAATGATTTATCAGATTTAATGATATTTTTAGATGCTGATATGTCTATTTTAGAATCTGATGCTTATCAAATATATGCTCAAGATATAAGAAAGGAATATTCTCATTTCACAGATAAAGAATATAAAACAGGTAGAATTGCTGTTTTATAAAAATTTTTACAATCTAAAATATTTAATTTGAGAAGTGAAGAAAAAGCTCGAAAAAATATATAAGAAGAGATCGAAATTTTATAATAGTGGGTAGTATGAGTTCATTATAATATAATATATAAAAAATGATTAAATTTTAAAAATTAGATCAGCCTTAATCCAGTCTATAAACAGAAACAGTCAAAGTTTCTTCTCCATAACATAATCAATTTTTTATTGTCCATCCATCTCCTATTTAAATATAGACTCAAACTTAAAACTTCTTTAGCGGATCTTAGGAATTGTTAAGATAAATACCTGCTCATGATAAAGGACCTAAATTAGATACAAAAGGATAGATCATAAGACATACATTAGTTGGTTCAGTTCAACAATTTATGCTTGAAAAGTAAAGGAGACAAAGCATTGGTAAGAAAACATAAGTCAAGTTATAAACTTAATTATAATCTGATTTTGAGGCACCACCTATGATTAATAATAGTTACACAAAATGTAAATTGATTCTCTATATATTCTTAAGTAACCGAATTTATGTCAAGTAAGGATCTTGCTAAAAAATCTCCAAGCAAAGTGAAATCTAAAGAATACCAGTTGATCTAATTAAATGAAGAATAAGTACAATAAGAAATTGTTGATGTTGAGAGAAGAGTAAAAATAAATTAAGCAGAAGTAAAACATGCCCCATGATATAAGACTGCCAAATTGAATCAAGATATCAAAAAGTAGCTAAATAAAGGAGATTAACTTAAAATGGATGCTTTTATAAGGGCCATGACAAATTATGAAAATACTTAAAGTGATTGGGAATAAACTAAAATTAAGGTGAGCTCAAGAATCTAGAGAAAAATTGGTTAATCAATGAATGATAAGATAGAATAATTTAGAATTAAACAAGAAGTTAAATAATTACTTGATCATATAACACCAATCGATTAAAAGTTAGGAAATGATTATTGGGTAATTTTTATTTTTTATACAGAAATAAGGATTACGATCTTAAGAATCAACACTTAAAAAAAAGAATCCTTATAAATACATAGACAAATTAGAAGAGGATCCTAACTATTAAATTGATAAGAAGCCTCCTGTTATTGAAATTATTAGAGGTTAGAATTCTACTGCAAAAGGATTAAGACCTTATACATCATTTACATCTCGTTTTTATTTAGATAGAAAACTCAAGGAGAATGAAGAACTTGTTCATAAACTTATTCCATAAAATATAGATGAAATTGATCAACTTCAATTAAATGGATAAAATGTGATGAAATAAGAGATCAATTCTGTTAGAAATCCTAGGGATAGTTTTGTCAAAATCACTGGTTCTTTTGCAAATAGTTAAGGCGGATTTAAAACTTATTTCAAGAAAGTACCACTAAAATAGGAAGAATAATTACCTGATGAAGTGATAATTTAGAATTATGATAAGAAAAAAATTTTAAATACAGGAAAATTTGGAAGTTTGAAAGGATATTTTTGATAATGATTTAATTCATAAGTTTCAAGCTTTGAGTATTTTCTTCCCTTCTTATTAAGTTGTTTTAAGTATTAAACTTTATTAATTTCGATGAAATAACTATGTAAAATGTCACCATATCATTATTCCAATTTACTAGTTTAGATCTAAATGTAATAATTATGAATTAAGATCCTTTTTATAAATTTTAAATTATTTAAGCTGCTTGATTTCTAAAGTTTTCATCAAGAGCAGCATCAAATTCATCTAAATAAAAAACTGATTTGGATTCTATTTTTATAAAGAAATTAGAATGACAAAAGCAACAATGGTTTTCTCACACTTGAAAACGATGTCCAATTCTAAATTTCTTTGTTTTTAGAAATCTTATTAAATTAGCTTTAAGTCTGATAATTTTTATAAATAGTCTAAGAATCTAGTTTAAAGTTAATTAATTTTTTCAAATAAACTTTAATCTTTTATAGTAAATTTATGATTAAAATTCATTTAAGTTTCTTAATCTTTTTAATGATAAGCTAAATTTTTTTATTTTCATTTAAAACTTTAAGATCAACAGCTTTATATGATAACAGATTGTGAATTAGATATTCTATTTATAATAATACTTAAGTTAATAATTATATTTAAATTCTCAATTTTTAAGCCTATTTATAAGTTAAATTTCTGATAATACTTTGTACTGTTTAATTACATCTGATTCATTTACTACTGATTTAATCTGTTATCCCTAAAGTTCCAATCTAAAACTATATGCATAAAATCATACCGTCTGCTCAATTCTATATTTAGAGTTTGTTAAGTTTATAATTAACTTTTTAATTGAATTAATTCTGAATTCACTGAATTTTCTTTTAGATGCCACTTCTACTTTGTATTTGCTAATTCTTCATTTTAACTAATCTACAATCTTTTCATCTCTTATTCAATCTTTTGTTTTTCTTCTTCTAATTAATTTTATAAAGCATTTTTAGTATCTTATATTTCATTTTATAATTTGAGAATATTTTATTCTTTTGTTATTAATTCAATTCTCAATTATTCAATAATTTACCATTTTTGTCTATTTTCGTTATCTAAATTTATTATCTATTTCTCTGCATTTAATTTTTCACTCCCCAAAGAAGACTCAAGAAATACTATTTTTTATTCTTATTATCCATTTAATTGTTTTAATATTACTATCTATTCTTCTAATTCATCTATATATTTTTATGATTCCACTTTTATTTATTCATTCTCTTTAGAAACTTCAACAAATTTATTCTAATAATCTTTATTATTTTTATACATATGTTTAAGTATTCAATTGTTTAAATTAAATTAAAGTTGTTTCATATTGTTTTTCTTTCAATTCAATTATTTGATTTAAATTTTATATTTGTTACTATAACTGTTTCATTAATGCTGATTATTATTCATTAAAGTTTATCAATTCTTACTTTTATTATTCATAATCTCTATAGTTTTATTACATTTAAATTTAAAACGATTCCTATTGTTATAATATCTATTAAAATAATGAAATATTAATTACCTATTTTTTTAAACTATTTATGATATTTTATGATCTCTCTTATTCCTATGAATTGATCTAAAGTAATTCCTACTTATTCTTTTATAATTCAACTAATTAATTTTCTTATTCAGATATCTACTTGTTTTAAGTGTTTACTTAATTTTCAAGAATCTTAATTTAATCTATGAATTAACTTTTCTAACTTTATATGTCTCTTTCCTATTAAATTCTTAAAGTTCTTTCAGCATTCTAAGAATCTTCCAATATCTTCTATTCATTTTTAACTGTTTTCTATTCAAAAGTTTCGTATTAATTTCTTATTGTCTAAGTTTCGTCTTCATAATTTGCTCTCATTCTCTTATTTTATAATAATAAAGTTTCAATCTCTGTATTCTTAATATCTAAAAGACCCTTTAACTTTTCAATCTCTGTATCCATAATCTCTTATTATGTTATAAATTATTTCTTTAGATTCTCAACTTAACCTTGATAAAGAATGTCTTATTTCTATCTTAAACTATTCATATCAACTAAAAACTCTCTCTCTTATTCCTATAATCTATTTCTTAAAATATCATTTTCTTTAAGTAATTAACTCTCATAATATTCTCTTTCCTATAAAATTTAACTAAATTTCATTTCCAAATTATCTGTTTCTTTATCTCTCATATCTGCATACTCTCTAAGCTTTCTAACTTAATTCTCTAACATATCTATTTATTTTAAATAACTATGTTTTTGTTATTCATTTTAAACTTAAAATATTTATTATGTATAATACTTTAAATTGTTGTCTTAGTCACTTCAACTTCTTATGATCTTTCTTTCTCTAAAAGATTATTTTTCTCCTCAAATAACTTTAACTCATTACTTAATTTCTTCAAATCTAACTCATATTAAGCTTTTACTATTATTTCAATACTAAATTTCTATACATTAAACTGCGCTATTAAGTTATTGCTCATATTTTGATCTCCACAATTCACATTCTGTCTTTTTCTATGCATAACTTTTTTGTAATTTATCCAGATCTTAATTAAGTATCTAATTCTAATGTAATATGAATTCTGTCTTATCATCCAATACACCTTATTTACTCATTCTGATTATCATTGCATCTAATTCACTTTTCAATTATCTTCCATAAATTTCAAGGTCTGCACATCTATTCTTGTAATATTCTAATTCTTCATTATATTAAGAATCTGTGTTTTATCTATTCTCTTTGATAGTTTTAGAAGTGAATGAGTTTCTGACTGGAATATTTGTGTCTAAGTTATATGGATATTGCTTTTTGTATTATGGACTTTGTGTATATGGCTTATCTAATTTCATATGAGGTGATGAATTTAACATTTTTGAATTCGTTAAAATAAATTAAAATTAACATCTTCACATTCTCATTATTTCGAAATTTTCATAATCAACTAAACTTATTTCTCTTAATTTATTTGATTTTAATAGTTAATGTATTAAAATAAATCCGATTGTATTATATTACAAATTTTATTTTTTACAATTTCAATACTATTCTTACCAAAAAATCAAAATATTTTCATTAAATTTCCTATTTAAATCTTAATAAGAATCATCAAAAAACTATTAAATTTTATTGCATTTCACAAAATCTAAAAATATTCATGATAACTCAAACTAAGTAAACTATTTTTAGGTTATGGAAGATACCTGTTAATATAAACTTTTTTTGTTTAGAAATATAAAAAAATCTTATTCTTTCTTGCATTAAAATATTTATGAATTTTACATTAATAATAATAATAATAAACTAATTCTAGATAAATGATAAAAGTTTGATAAACTAAATTTAAATTTTTTTATCGATTTTTTATGATTTTTGTATTGAAAATTACATGATGCTCAATAAATTCTATAATTGGCACCTTAAAAGATATTTTTAAGATTACTAAAGCTCTTTGTATGTATAATCTATAGAGAATGAAAAGAAAGTAAATATTGAAGAAATAAAGTTAGTATAATTTCTTTGAGTGATGGTTGAAATTTTTGAAATGTATTTTAATGATAATAAATTTTCAATCCTGTATAATTTTTTTGCACTTTAAAATTTTTTTATGAAGCTTTCTTTTTTTTGTATGAATTTCTTTCTCATTTTATGGAGTAGGTATGGGTTTAAGGATAATCCTTCTCTTCTTAACAATTTTCTTAACTTTAATTCTCTAATCCTCTTGATTTCCAAGCATTTCACCATTTTATGTTTTTTCTTAATGTTCGATTAAATCATCTTTATCTTATTATAATAGTCGGGTTTAATACTAATTTTATGTAAATGTCATTTAATTGACAAGCTACTTCTGCTAATACCGTTATCTTAATGTTCTCTCTAAAGATTATGCTTAACAGTTTAGGATGATTAACATAATCAGAAAAACGATAAAATGCTTCATGAAATAAATTAATTAAAACTAAATTTTTGGATTCCAGTCATCGATAATCTAAAGTTCTAAAAACATTTGTAGTTGATAGGGATATTTAAGAAAGTTATTGATTTAGTTTGACTTGGATATATAAATAAATAAAATCTATCACTATTTAAGGTTAATAAAGTCCTTTCAATACTTGAGTATAATATATTAGATAAGTTATGTTTAGGTTTTTAAATGAAAATTTATGATTGTACAAATTTAATTTAAAAAATGTGAAACATAAAAGTGATAGATTATTAATAGTGAATATTAGGATTATATTTATTAGTTCTGATTAATGATATGATATGATATTGTTGATTGTTATTGATAATTGTTTATGAATGTATATAAAATAGTAAATAAATTAGATAACATAAGAGTATTAACAAATCGTTTATTTGTTATTGATTCTATTGTATATTTTGTGTTGTTGCATAGTTGAGATAGTTCAAATATTTGCATAAATTTTTAATTATTTAATGGGAATCCCTTGCTCAAAATAGCATCATTAAAAACCTTAGTAATTGATTTAGAATTAACATGATTTCTAAAATCTTCTTGATTAATAATAAGAGAACTCATTATAACCAGATGAAGAAAATAAAGAATAAAAATAAACTAAAATTGATGCAGCATAAAATTCAATCGATTTGAATAAAAAACGTTATTCAAGTAGAGACATGTCAATAATTTCTAAATACATAGAAAATGAGCTAAGTATTAAAATAATATAATGAAGAAAACTAATCGGTAAAACTTGAGAGACTTACTATTGATATGAGAGATCCATCAATGAGTGTAAAAGGAGGACCAGTTGCATAACGAAAAGAAATCTCATAAGATCTATAAGAAGAAGATGATAGTCATATATGCTATACAATTTATACAAACCCAAAGTATAAACGCTTGAAAAGTATTAATGAACGTACAATGGTTCTATTACATTTGAATGAAAATAATGAATTCTTGGATTTGCTATACAGAATTACTAATGATTATCATTTTACAATTGAACACTAAGAAGAATTCAAAGATATTTTAACTAGATCATAAGATAGTTTTCTCTAAAATTTATTAATATCTGAAAAGTTTATAAATGAATATGGAATCTTTCATATTATTAGAGAAGCTATTAAATTTAGTAAATTAGAATTAATACTTTAGAATGATTATACACTAAATTCAACTTTATTGCATTATAATAAATGTATCAATTAATTCTATTTTTTTATTAGTATTTGTTGATATAAGTTTATTTCCATTAATTTTAGCAACTTAACATATTAATATATATTGTCTAGAGTTTACCTAATAAATTGTTGAATACAAAAAGTTAACAAATTCAAATCAAGAATTGATTAGATTTATTAATGAAATAAAATAAATTTTAGGATGTGATGTAAAATAGATCTATTATTAATTTTAGATATAATTTTTATCAATTTATCATTAAAATTAGAATATGATTGTATCATTAATAATTAGAAAGAGTTAATTAAATCGAAATTAAATAATATCACAGATAAATGAATCTTTAAATACCAAATTAGGATTTGTCTCTTGTTAAACATAGTCATTGATAAAGTATGTTGGATGTGAATTAAGTGATATTGATCCTTGGAACAATAGAGAATTTAAGGAGGAAACAAGAGTAGACAGTTAGCATTCATTATAATATGGATGGAAGTATAACTAACATTAATAATAGATTATTTGGTTTGAATGTCAAGTAGTAAAATATTTCTAATATAGGATTTATCTATTATAATCCAAATTAAATGTATAATGAAAATATTAGAATCTATTCATTAACTGACATCAATAAATACTCAAATTAATTTGAATTGATTGAGATTAAAGTCTACTGTGAAAAAAAATAATATAAAATACTTTTTCAAGTTACATACTAAGATGAAGATCTAATAATCATAGACAATATGGTAATGAGTAAATTATTATAAAGGCATATCTCAATACTTTAATGAATTCAAGGTTGACTGGAATTTTGGTATATGATGCTGAAAAATATATGAAATATTGACTCAAACTAATATCTTTATCATTTTGCTTAAGCTTTTACTTTTTTTATTTATTATGCTTTTTTTTTTGTCATTTTTATTTAATCATTTTACATCCAGATTTTCAGGATTTTCTTTACTTGAATAACATCAGAATTTCTTAACAAGGTTTCTTAATTGTTTAATTGTATTTATTTAATAGTAATAATTGTAGGATTTCTATGATTATGATCATCCATATCATTTATATATATATTATTGACCTTATTAATGTTTTTGAGATGAATGACTAATTTTTTTCATTTTTATTGTTATTAAATATTTCTAAAAATTAATCATAATCAAATTCCCATTCTAACTTTGTTTTCAAAATCTTAGGGAGGTAAGAATATGTTGTAGTAATTGTGAATATTTTATAGGAGTAAATCATGGGGATGAATTCAAAGGCCGATTCTCTTTATATGCTTAAATTTCATATTATTCCCTTATTTTTCTTGAAGCTTATTGAATTATGCGTAGAAATCAATTGATTTTATATCCTAGAACTATTATGTTGCTGTGTAGATACACTCAATAATTTATTTATTTAATTGTCAATATATTTAAATTAATGATTAATTAAAGAGTACTTGTTCAAAACAAAGAAATCTATCAACCTGGCATATTAATTGATAAAGATAAGGTTTAGTTACATGATACATCAATCATTTCCATCAATACAATCATTGACAATACCATACCAAATACAAACATACATTAAATTATTTACTAATTACTCAACAATCAATCAATTAATATTAACAATCACATATTACTCACTGTTAATAATTCAAACTTTTTATTTTAATTTCATTCCAATCTAAATTACTGCTTTTCCATTTCAAATTCAAATCTTAATACTTTTTATCATCTAATAGAATAAATCCAACATAAATAATCTAAATTATTATCCACTTTAATTATTTTCAATCAACTTTTCAAATTCAATACAAATGATAACAATTTTATTACCATTTTTAATAATAACTGTTTTAAATGTAAATATTTTAATATTTCTAATCGAATTTTTACCAAAAATTTTAAATTTCCTATTCTGAATTTATTTTATAATTAACTCACAAATGAAAATAATTCCTACTTAATTGATTCAAATACTCAAACATTATATTAATATCCTTTTCAGATAATTGAAGAGTATAATAATTATAATTTGTAACAATTACTTATATAAGTTAATCAACTTTAAGTTTTTTAAGTTTTATCTAAATTGTTTTCTTCTATTATATTATTTCAAATGATTAAAGTGGAACAGTTATAACAACAAAAAGAATTAATCAATTAAATAGAATCCAATCTTTAATTAGAATCTTAATCATTACTTACAGAATTGACAGTTAAAAAGAGGAAAATGGGAAATAAATTTATTGAATAATAAATGACTCAATAAGAAATGGAAATAATTAAAGATCAAATATCTACTTGTTTATATTATCTTGCCAGATCAATTGTCTTTAATACAAATTAATCTAATAATAATTAGACTGAAACCTTTATAAGTATACTTACTTATTCTTAATTTAATACAGTTTAGACTAATTTAGAAGCATTAATTGAAAATTATGCATTTGAAAAAATCCATTATTAATTTTACAATAGGATTAAAGCAGATAGAGAAAGAGATTTGAAATTATGTTAAATTGGATATTCTCAAATTACCTTATTAAATTCTTCTTAACTTATTGAGTTATTTGATAAAAAAGGTGTTGGGTTGATTGGATTAATTGAAGAGCATACTATTAACAATACAGATGATACAAAAATTATTGAGAAGATTAAATCTCTTTAAAGAACATATGTAAAGCTAATGAAAATCTAAGCTTAAAATCCACAATTATTTACAATTAATCACACTTATGGTTAAGTCAATTATAATGTTTCTGAATTTAAATCTTAAAATAAATTTGAAACTCTCTTCAAAGTTTCTGAATTTATTTAAAGTTCAAAAGATTAAATAATATCAACGCATGCTAAAACATTTTAAATTCAATTTAAAACCAATTTAGAATAATATTAGGATCATTATAATAAAATTAATGATGAATTAGAAAAATGTAATTAAATTATGGTCTATTAAATCAACAATACAAGTTATTAAGATGTCGTTAAATAATTAGAATAACTTAATATACCTAATTATATTAACTATTACTATTCCACCTACCCTTATAGATATGAGTTATAAGATTTTGTAGATACAATCAAATAACTCTTTTTTTTACCTCCAAAATATACTTTATAAGAATAGCTAGCTTATTGCTAAAATAAAATATATTAAATTAATAATATTGTTTATGCGAATAATTAACTCTTTCTTACTCTGGAGTAATAAATAAAAATTGAAATTATTAATGATAATTCCATTATTCAATTTATTAAATTCAACAATTTACTAATAAAAAATTTTAGGTCTTTTATTTTAAGAAAAAGAATAAAAAGTAAGATACGAAAAATAAAAATTTTTAATTCTATCACTTAATTATCAAATACCATTATAAAATCTGCTGCTGTTTTAAAATGGAATCATATAGTTTAAAAAATAAAGTTTATATAAAATAAAATTAGATAATATTTATAAAGGTAGAGATTTTAAAAATAAATGTTTGCTAGAACAATTTTAAGATCTGTGATTGATTTAATGTGGGTTAAAGTTGAAAATTTAATGGCTATTAAATTACAAAAGATTTTTAGAGGCAATAAGATCAGATTACAAAATAATGAAATAATAAATAAAGTTAAATCGAAAATGGTCGAATTCATGAAGTTAAAAAAAATAATAATAATTTAGAAACATATTAGAAGATATATTTGTTAATAATACTTTATTAGTTAATTAAAAAAAATCATAATTATTTAAAATTTATGGAGAATGCACATTACTAGAAAGAATTATAAGTAGGTCAGGAATTCTATAATTTTTATTTAAAGGATTTTTAAACCGATTATCATTAAATCCTTAGTTAAATACAAAGAATTTGAACAGTATGAAAAGAATTAGAGTATCTAATATACTAAATTTAAAGAAAATAACAATAAAAATTTATTAGATTATGAAAAATTGTTAAGTTTATAATTTGATGATCAAAAAATAAAGATATTTTAAATAATCTTAAATCTTGAATTTTTAGTTGAACTTACTGATATTTGTCCTTGTTGGTTATAAAATTATAGTCTATATTGGTCAAAATGCTTTCATAAAAATAAACCAATATAATTTTTAGAAGTTTCTGAAACCTAAACTTTTTTAGTGGATGCAGTTGGTAAAGTTTATTAATGGGGTTTATTAGATGATTTTGTTGTAAAGAGTAATGTGAATTATTTTTAAGCTGGTGAGAATTTGGTAATTTATTAAGATGATAAATGGAATTTTTTAAATATTGATGAGAGATCTACTAAATAAAACTTAATTTATAACTATTAATAAATGTATGTAAAATCAAACAAAGCTTTTGGTTATAATGATCACTATGTTGATAGTTTTGTTTTTTAAGGAAATTAAATTATAAAAAATTAAACAATAGAATTTAAAAAGTAAATTGATTAAATATCATGTGGACATAATTTTATTTTTTATTTAATAAGAGGCTAATTATGGTCAGTTGGTTAAAATAAATATGGTTAATTAGGTTTGGGAGATTATAATGTAAAAATAAAAATTAATTCAGGATAGGAATACTCCGTGCTAAACATAAATTGAAAATGTAAATTGGATAGAATGTGGATAGACACATGCTGTTTATAGAACATTTAAGAAATTCTTTGGAGTTGGAAACAATAAGTATGGATAATTAGGATTATCTAAAAAGAGTTACAATTCACCTTAATGCTTAATGATTCCAATAAATGAAAATATATTATCAATATCTGCTTCTTATAAAGGAACATTACTTATATGTGAATCTAACAAAATTTATATGACAGGATCATGTAATAAGTTTAAATCTAATAAATTTATTTAATACATAGATGTAAAAATATAAATAATCTAGTATCATTTTTTAAATAAATAACATTATATTCCTATAAAAATATAATGTAGTTGGAGTAAAACAGTATCAGTAATAAATTGTAGATTCATTTTTGAAAATTTGTAAAATCTAATAATATAAATTAGATATAATGTCAATAATGTAAAAAAATAGAAGAGTATACATTAATTTATCTAACTATATTAAAATCATTCACCAAATTGGATAGATCCTCCAAAGTGCGAATTTGTCTAATAATATTGTTTATAGATATATAATAAATTATCATAAAAACAAAATTTAGATCAAAAATAATTTGGAAATAAATTTTAAGAGTAGAAATCTGTAAGATTTGAACAAAAGAATTTACATTAGATTAAATAATAAATTATAGCTTTGCAAAATAAACCAAAGAATAAATGGACTAAAGAAGATCATAGATTTTTAGAAACCGTTAATCAATTGAACATACTCAATTAAATAATTTGAATATCACCAATCATCTTTCTGTATAAGATTTCCTTCATTTTCATCTTAAATTTCTAGAATTCTCACTACAGGTACGACGAAAGATTCGATTACAGGTAATATTTCTTAAAATAATATTATAAGTAATTTACATTCTTCTGTTAAAGTATTATAATTATCAGGTAGGTTAGTTTATCTCCATTTTTAATATTAAATGATTTAATCATCATATTCCTAACAAGCTTTAGTTAAATATTTCAATTAAGCTTCTGATAATATAATTTTTTATTTAGGTAATTACCCTTTATTCATAACCGATTTTTCTTAGTTCTGTTCTGTAGTTTGAATTGGTAGAATAGTATCATCACATTAGTCATCTGGGATAACTTTAAAAGAATGTTACACAAAACTATCATTCTTTTCTCTATTTTATATTCTAGACTATAGTTTTTTAAGTTTATTTTTAAGATTTTCAATTCTATTGTTTTCCAAATTAAAAAAACTTATTTTTTATTTTTATAAATGCTTTCCCTCTTCTATCTGTTACATAAATCTAATATATTTTAAGTAAATATATTCTGACTATTTGATTAAATTATATTATTTACTATAATTTATTTGGAACTGTTTCTTTAGTCAAAGTAACTGTGTTATTTTTTTGGTTTCAATTATTCTTAATATTTTTCTATAAGATCTCTAAAATAATTAAATTTTATTATACTCTTCATTAAATTCTCTGTCTTTTACTGGCTTATGCAAATGAAAGATACGATAAATCAAAAAGCATTAAAATATTAGTCTGACATTATATGACCAATGAATGAAAAATTTCATTGCTAAATTTTCAAAAATCATATCATTAATTTCTTTCTTTAGATCAACTTGATTTTTAATAAAAATTATACCTGGAAATAATATATAATTGCAGTAAATCATTTCTAAGCATTTTGCTATACTTTATGCATGTTCACTTTAAGATAAAATGATTCTGATTCCTTTCAAAAAATATTTTTAATCCAAAAATGATGGCATTTACAAATTATATTAGCTTATTTTTTATAAACATTTGTTAAGTAGATCTAAACAATGAACTACATTTTCAAAGTCAAATAAATTAACTTTACTAAATAACATTACTATTATTGTATTTAATAAATTTGTGTTTCTAAGCATAGAACATAATGCTATTTTTAAAGCTTCTGGATAATGTTTTATTTCTCTTGATTTTATTTCTAAAAAAAATGCTTTAACAAGTTAAAAATATCCAGGTAATTAGTGATAAGGAACATTTTTACTATTAACAATGTATGTATTTAATAAATCACACCATTCTTTAATAAATAAAAAGAATGCTATTCCTCTTTTTCCTAAACGTTTCTACCACAATGTTTAATTAATAGTTTCATTCATTTTATGATTATTAGCATAATATTTTGGATCTTTCATTAGATATTCATAAAAATGTTTATTCCAATCAAAAATATCATTAAATTCTAAATTGGATACTCCTCCACTTGATTTAGTAAGAGATCTCCATTCTGGAATCTATTCATCATCAACTCTTTAGACACTAGAAATTATTTTATTTCTAAATTCTGGAACTCTGAAATAAGCATTTGCAAAAAAGTTTTCTACAAATGATCTTTCATTTTATGCTAATGATTTTTATTTTAGTTTTTCTAAAGTTAGAGATAATCCTTTTTATAAAAAGATTTAATAGCTTAAACCAATATCCATTTTAAATTTTAAAAGTTTTTCATTAGTCTTTTGAGTTTGATCTGAGAATCCTAATTAAGATAAACTAAGTTCTCCTCTATTCATTAATAATTTAAGAATCGTATAATATTATTCTCTCAAAAGTTCTTATTATTAATCTGCAGTTTCTAAAAGTCTAATAGCTAAATCAATTAATAATTTTTAAGAGTTAAAGAGATCTTATTAAGTTTTGTATTCAAAACAAACAATTGATTATTTATGACTCAATTTGAGATTATCAATAATTTAAAGTATATAATCATTTTACTATTAAATTAATTAAGAATCAGGTTCTGACTAATATAGATTATATAATATATTTACTTTGCTTAATATTACATATTATGTATCTATTAATCCTTATCCAGCTGAACTTAATTGTTATATTTCTTTAATACATGCTTTTGATTGATTAATTACTCTGGTTCCTTGAGATACTCCTTTATCAGTTCTAACTCCAACAATTTATTATTTTAAATGAAATGGTAAAATAATTTCAAGATGATAATTCAACATTCCTTCCTAAACTCCATGATTCCAAACTCTTCTATTGTTCTGTATCTATTATATTTTGTAATATTTAATTCCTTTATCAATAATCTAAATAATATTAATTTAATATTACACATTCAGTTTTTTAAGTTAAAGCATAATTTAAATTTACATATGCTTCACATTCAATTTCCTTTTTACCATCTTTGGCTATATGCCATAAAGATATTTAAATTGAAGATGAAGTTATTTCTATTAAAGGTACTTCTACTTCCATTTCGACATTTGAATCCTTCCATATTATTTATTTATTTGATTAAAGTTAGTTTGTTTTTTATAATAAATGACTTTAAAATATAGGTGAAAATTCCGAATGAAATTGTAATTAGGATGTTAGCATTCGTAATTAAAAACAATATTCATTCTTATTTAATGGTTCTTTCAAAGTAAAATCAATTAATTTTGGAATAAATCTAACAACAAGAATTTAAGCCATCTTAAAATCGAAACTCATTTTCCCATGCTTTCTTGATCCTACTTATGTAAATTCGTAATCAAAATGAAATGGTCCGGTTGCTATTTAATATAAGTTTAGTTTAAATGATGATATCTATTCACTCTTCTCATTTTCTAAATCCACAACAACAAATTTCTATTTTAACTATTCTTCATTCGTTGTAAATTATAGCTTATGTATATGTTTAAACTAAATAAATATTCAATAAATTACGTAAAATTATCCTTAACTTTCCTTCTCAATTTCAGTTTCAAAAGTTGAATAGCTAGATATATCCATTTTCACTTTGCAATTTTGCTTTAAATAATGATAACACATAATACAATATCATCCATTTTAACTTTAATATTTTCGACAATTATATCAAATCCTAATTAACCTTTAGTTTATAATGGAATGTTATCAAAATCTGTCATTAAATTTTCTTTTTGTCTACCAGAACAAATACCCATCAATAAGATAATTTATTTTTGAGTTTATTTAAAATAAATATAAACCATATGATTAGATTAAATAAATAAATATTAAACTAGATAGTTATTATATATTTTTAAAATGTCTTGAGAACTGCTCCTATTGGATAAATCAAGCAGATCTCAATCATAATTATTGATTCATGTTATTTTTATCAATAATAGATTCCTCCTGCAAATAAAGAAACTGTGAATAATACTATGGCTAGACCAAAAAAATTTATTATCGCGTAAAATATATGGTATCTCACCCAAGCAACCAAAGCAATAAGTAAACAAACAGGTAATGAGATTATCATACTCACTCCCAAAAAAATAACAAACAAAAATGCAGCCGTAAATTATCCAATCAAAGGCAATAATGAAAAAAGCCAAATAATTGGGTAAAATAAAAATAGTAACCCAATAACCTTATAATAATAAATAAGTAAATACCATTAAAATATAGCCTAAGAACCTTATTTTATAAGTCAAAGCTGCATTTTTACTTAATTCCATTTAAAATACTTTGTTTTTGGACCATACTTTTTCTCTAATCCAATCAATTTTTTTTAATGGTTCTTTAGCTGCTTTAGCTAATTTAGCAACTTTTTAACAAAAATCACAACATCCTTCATCTTCATCCATTTCATCTGGATGAAGACTCTTTTCAGATAACCATTTATCTTTTATAACATAAGGAATAAATGTATTATTTATTTATTTTGAAACTACTGTTGTATTACCACATAAAACATTTTCAAAAGAAACTCTAAGATCTCCAACTGTTTTTTAAAATGCATGTTATTATAAATAAAGATCTTTTTAATTGATATTTCTATAATATAATTATTTTAAAGTACATATGACGAAATTTTTTTCCAAATAATTTTGTAGCTGCTTACAATTAAGCATCATCTGGAAGCAAATATTAAAAATTATTACAACCTTGCTTTAATGATTCAGATAAAGTAAATGCTCCTAATTTTACATCTGGATTTAATTTATCTTATGATTTTACTAACCAAAGATATGGTTTATTTTAGTATTCAGGAGGATATTCAGCACTACAAACTTAATCAGCTTTCCATCTTAAATCATATGTGTATGTTGTTTCACTTTTTTTATGTTTATGTTCTATTCTTACAAATTGAAGTTATTCAACATATCGTTTTAATTTTATACAACCACTTAAAGATATTTCAAATTCATTATCTACTAGAATTTAATCTGTAGTTGTTTATCCTATTACTAATTACTATATTTTTACCTTATATATGGACAAGTTCACCATTCAATAATTGATTGACTTCATGACAATCTCCAATTTTACATATTTTTTTCATATTCACTAATCTATATTCTGTTATTGCCTCTCTTCTTTCATTGTACCATAATAATGCTGCTGAAAAAATTATTAGAAAAAATCCCAAAACAAAAAGAAACAACAATGAAACTGAATTATTCCCATCATGATATCCAGCATTAGTTAAGAATTATTGTTACTTAATTTAAAGCTCTTTACATGCTATCGTGACTATTAAAATATGTAAAAATTGCATAAAATATATGATATTAATGTATGAACAAATATACTACTTATTTTCAAATTAACATAGAAACTCATTTTTATTTTCTAAAAGCTAAAGTACTAATGTGTTTCCTAATGCAAAGATTTATTTAATTTATATAAAAAGAGAAGTTGGAATTTATATAAAAAATGAAGAGATAATAGATTTATATGAATAATACTTAGAAAAATAACAAAAATAATTTTGAAATATGTATTTCCGTGATTTCTTTTTTGCATTGNCTTTTTCTCTAATCCAATCAATTTTTTTTAATGGTTCTTTAGCTGCTTTAGCTAATTTAGCAACTTTTTAACAAAAATCACAACATCCTTCATCTTCATCCATTTCATCTGGATGAAGACTCTTTTCAGATAACCATTTATCTTTTATAACATAAGGAATAAATGTATTATTTATTTATTTTGAAACTACTGTTGTATTACCACATAAAACATTTTCAAAAGAAACTCTAAGATCTCCAACTGTTTTTTAAAATGCATGTTATTATAAATAAAGATCTTTTTAATTGATATTTCTATAATATAATTATTTTAAAGTACATATGACGAAATTTTTTTCCAAATAATTTTGTAGCTGCTTACAATTAAGCATCATCTGGAAGCAAATATTAAAAATTATTACAACCTTGCTTTAATGATTCAGATAAAGTAAATGCTCCTAATTTTACATCTGGATTTAATTTATCTTATGATTTTACTAACCAAAGATATGGTTTATTTTAGTATTCAGGAGGATATTCAGCACTACAAACTTAATCAGCTTTCCATCTTAAATCATATGTGTATGTTGTTTCACTTTTTTTATGTTTATGTTCTATTCTTACAAATTGAAGTTATTCAACATATCGTTTTAATTTTATACAACCACTTAAAGATATTTCAAATTCATTATCTACTAGAATTTAATCTGTAGTTGTTTATCCTATTACTAATTACTATATTTTTACCTTATATATGGACAAGTTCACCATTCAATAATTGATTGACTTCATGACAATCTCCAATTTTACATATTTTTTTCATATTCACTAATCTATATTCTGTTATTGCCTCTCTTCTTTCATTGTACCATAATAATGCTGCTGAAAAAATTATTAGAAAAAATCCCAAAACAAAAAGAAACAACAATGAAACTGAATTATTCCCATCATGATATCCAGCATTAGTTAAGAATTATTGTTACTTAATTTAAAGCTCTTTACATGCTATCGTGACTATTAAAATATGTAAAAATTGCATAAAATATATGATATTAATGTATGAACAAATATACTACTTATTTTCAAATTAACATAGAAACTCATTTTTATTTTCTAAAAGCTAAAGTACTAATGTGTTTCCTAATGCAAAGATTTATTTAATTTATATAAAAAGAGAAGTTGGAATTTATATAAAAAATGAAGAGATAATAGATTTATATGAATAATACTTAGAAAAATAACAAAAATAATTTTGAAATATGTATTTCCGTGATTTCTTTTTTGCATTGAATATTAATTTTAAATCACTATTAATTGCCAAAATCAAATTTTGAATCTAAAAATAAAATTAAAACCTTTTTTTTTTCTTTGCATTTTATATATTTTTTTTTATTTTGTAAAGTTATATAAAATTTTTTCTTAT